TTCTGTATATTATTTGGAGTGGTGAGGAAAGAGATTCATTAGCTAGATTTTATGATGACTGGGAATTCAGAGTCCCGTAAGGATGTAACTGGAGTGGAAGTATCATATTTCATGGCATTAACAACTTATAAAATGGTATGTTTAAAGTAGCCAAGTACCTGCTTTTAGCACAAGATCTTTTAGGAGGAAATTAGCTGCCTTATTGTAGTATTTATTTAGATTTTACCTGCCATGATTGCTTGCTTGTGAGATTTTGATCAAACTAATATGCAATTCCAAGTATCTGCATTTTTGTTCTGGACAAATGATATCATTACTTTAATGGACTTTTGTGAGAGAAACCAGTTGCAAATAACCTGAAAACAAAGATTTCTGTACTTAATTGCACGTGGTATTGTTTTCTTCCAGGATGTTACATTGCATGATCTTGATGCTGCAAATGCACGGCCACAAGGAGGACAAGATATATTGTCCCTTATGGGTCAAATGATGAAACCTAGGAAAACCGAGATCACTGACAAGTTGCGGCAAGAGATAAACAAGGTACTTCTGATTTATTGGTTCTAGTAGTCCTCTGGATGAATGAGTACAAATTTTATGCTGGTTCTAATGTCTATGAGACTGTGAATTTAGTATTTAGCATAGTGGGTTATATGGTATTATTTCTCTGCAGGTTGTCAACCGTTATGTTGATGAAGGTGTTGCAGAGCTTGTTCCTGGTGTCTTATTTATCGATGAGGTTTGTTCTCATTCAGACAACATTCTGTTTGATAATTCATTTAACACCATTCCCTCCCCTTTGGTAATTAATTGGAGAAAACGTCTTGGGCAGGTTCATATGCTTGATATGGAATGCTTTTCATACTTGAATCGTGCCTTGGAGAGTTCATTGTCTCCAATCGTGATTTTTGCAACTAACAGAGGCATTTGTACTGTCAGGTATGAGTGTTCATGCAAAACCAAGCTTCAAAAGTTCATCAAGTTGGAAAAATTCCATTATATTGATTTCTTTATCCTGGGGCTTTTAAAAATTTGCATTTTGGCTGCATTTTTTCGTACATTGATCCATTGCATGTAGAATGAAGTGTTTAGAAATATAGGACAAATTGTCACTTCTCTATATCAAAATATTGTTACATGGGCCATGTAATTGTCGACTTTAAATTGAAAGAACATAAGAAGAATGAAAATCTGAACATAATTACTTGTTAGATTCAGTTGCTAGATACTCCCTCTGTTTCATTTGTTTCTCTTACCCCTTTTTAGTCCGTTTAAAAAATAAGGCCTCTTTTCCTTTTTGATAACTCTTTGATTTCAACCTCCGACATAGCATGTTTAAGACCAGAAGATTAAAGGGTCTCTCTGTACATTCTACATATCTTCAATTTAAGTCACAAGATTCAAAAGTTTTCTTTACCTTCTTAAACTTCTTTGTGAGAATCAAACAAACAAACTTAAAAGGAGGGAGTACATGCTTTTGGCTTTGTAGGCGCCTTAGATGTATGTGCTGCAGATACAGGTGATGTCTGAGATTAATCAGTTGTCACTAACAAAATGTATCTCTTTGCAGAGGAACAGATATGGTTAGTCCACATGGCATTCCAGTTGACTTGTTAGATCGGTTGGTGATTGTCAGAACTGAAACTTATGGTCCAGCTGAAATGATACAGGTTCGGGCTTGCTTGTTCAACACTTTATTTGTATGGCTTATTGATTTCGACCTTAGCCGTTGCATTTTCTTGATGGATCTTTCGTTTGAGTGCTTGGCCAGATATTAGCTATACGTGCTCAGGTGGAGGGATTAGAAATAGACGAAGAGAGTCTTGCATTTCTGGGAGAGATTGGACAACAAGCTTCCTTGAGGTTGCATTTAACTGTTGGATATATATCTCCGAAGTACAATATCAATTCATTTTAAATTAAAGTAACCGGTGTTCAATCCTTCCCTTTGTTAGGCATGCTGTTCAGCTGCTATCGCCAGCTAGTGTAGTCGCAAAAATGAATGGCCGTGACAAAATCTGCAAGGTACTTGGCTGATCACATTCTTTATCATTTCTCTCTGTGAAAGCTCCGAACTCTATTTACTTATTAGCTATTCACTTTTCAGGCGGATCTAGACGAAGTGAGTTCATTGTACCTGGATGCAAAGTCTTCTGCAAGACTTCTTCAAGAGCAGCAAGATAGATACATCTCATGATAAATTGTACCTATAACATCAATTCTCTAGCTTTATTTTCTACGCTGCTCATATCCAATATGCATTTTGCAAGTCAATTTGTTTCATTCTAAGGTTTTCGTGTCTTCTGCAACTGATGCACTGTAGTTCTCTCATGAGATTGCAATAGAACAAGGCTTCTGGAATAGGAGACTCTCCTTTCTATATTTGTATCTTCATAGTAGATCGCTCATCCTGATTCTACTTGTAGAGAGAGGAGGGGCATAAGTTGTACAAATTAAAACTTGTACATTGACGTTTGGTTCCTTACTTCAAGACTAGGCTGAAAGGCATAGTCTCACCTTTTGGTTCAACCCTTGAACGATACACTGTTTAATAGGGGGTTTCACGACCAATTTATGGATTACATTCTTGGGTTCGAAAAACCCGCGAATGTTGCCCTGTTCTTTCTTCTCCTTAGGTACTCGAGACCATGAAGTGTTTCACACCCAAGAATCAGACCAGTGCATAGAGGTTTTAGTAAAATACTTGACCTTAGTGTGATGAGTTGAAGCTTAAAACTTTGGGATGCCTTGGCTAAGTTAGTTGAGGTATTTTCACCAAATATTGTGAACCTTTAATACGCCACTAATGACAACAACGTTACGTGAGTACATTCTTCAACGATTAGAAATTCAAATAGTGAAATATGTAGATTTTAAATAATCTCTCATCTCTTTCAACAATTTTTTACACATTTCATTAAAATATAGTTGTTTGAGCAAAATTTATTAGGTTTAACTGAACCTGCATGTGTGCGATTAGTTTTGCATCACTATTCGCTGTTAGTCTTATTTGGCTACCATATGAGTTCATTTGTGGTTTACAATACGGATTGGTGTGTGGTTCTTCCTATGGAAAAACTTAGCTTGTGGAGTTGCATTATCAGACACCAGAGACATATTATTAAAAATATTCCTTTTCTGTTTTCATATATTAAGTCTATGAAGGAGTCAAGCATATAAGCTCTCATAGCTCAGTTGGTTAGAGCACCCGTTTAGTAAGCGGGAGGTCTTGAGTTCGACTCTCAATGAAAGCAAATATGTATTCCTTTTTTTTTACGCCCCTTAAAGGGTGTTCAAATATTGCAAATTGTTATGTTAAGGGTGTCCAAAATAGATTATTTAATCATTTCGTATATCATTTTATTTGTATATACGCTAATTTTTTTTCGACGAAGGACACCCTTGACAATATATGGCTTATGTAATTTTGGACATCATTCATCAATTTTCGAGCTACGCCATTGACAATCTGTTGTAGGCTAGAACACACAGAAAATTTATTTTTATGTTTAGTTTGTTGTTTTTCTCCATTGATCATGTAACTTTGGCAATCAAAGTTATCCGAGTATATGCTCTTAACAAATTCACTTTTGGTGTAAGAGGTATCACTATGACTTAATCAGTATTATAACACTAATCTTCCTTTTGAGGAATTTCAACTACTTTTATATATACATATATATGTTTATGTTTGTTAATTAATCATGTTGCTTTGAAAAACTCCTATAAAATAATATTATTTTTTTTGATGTATCCGAGGAAAATTCAAACCCTTTGCTTGAGATATTTTAGCCGCCTCGACAGGTCCAGTATATAAAAAATGACTAGTTTAAAAAATCAAACCATTAGGGTATTCTAGATTATGTCAATCTCTGACAAATAATTTAGTCACCGTTGACTGGTTAAAATTGTATAAAATGACCAGATTGGTTCAATTATTGTTCGGGGAATCTCAACTACCCCTTACCATAAAAAATAAATATAATTATTTTAAATTATCTGTCAATTTACAAAATCAAACTAAGTTTCCCTATTTTATATTTATAATTAATTTATTTTTGTTATGTGTAAATTCATTTATTTGTGTAAAGAGAAAAGTGAACAACTAATATAGGGCAAAGGAAACATTAAGATTTTTCACATCTATATATATATCAAGAAATGATTTCTTCATTATAAAAAATTTACCATGATTTTTTCTAAAATTTTTCTTAATCTTGTGATCTAAACTATATATACGTATAAGATAACAAAATATTCTTTAGATTTTATGATTTTAAATGTGTGAAGTTGGAGAGTTAGTAATTTTTAATATAATAGCTTTTTATCTCCTAAAAATATGAATAAATTCTGGTTTTAATTCTCATGACACATGTGACTTGATGACATACTTAACCTTCATTTAATTAAACTATACGTTCTTCATCCCTTTATGGATGTAGAAAATATGTTATATTTAGACATAATTTTAGAAGCATATTATCCTAAAAATTAGAGTAATAATACAAACTTAACGTACTGCGAAGGTAATAATTAAAGGAAAATTAGTGCAACGGTTAATACTTCTAGAAATTTGTGATTGTTCTCCCAAAAAAAGGTATCAAAAGTGCTCATTTCGCATTATTGAAAGTTAATTATATTAGATATCACAAGGATTAAAATCAGAGTATATCAATAGTTAAGGAACCAAAAATGAAAATGACGTTTGTTCCTAAAAAAGGACAGACATTACAAGACAAATTTAATTTTTAAGATTTACTAACATGAATTGTGGTGAGATGGTTGGATTCACTCTTAGTTACCGTTATAGGTCTAGAGTAGCTCCTAAGAATAGAAAACATAGGCCATGCAATGAGCAAATCCGATTTTAATGGGCTCCAATGTAGATAGATACAAAAAGGGAAACCAAAAAGAAAATAGGAATAGTACTATTTAAGAGCTGCCTAAACAGCTACCATATACTTTGTATTCATAGCTCAGTTCTAACTCTTTTTGTTTCAATGGCTATGAATTCATCATCAGATAACAGTCTACTTCACCTTAATGAAGTGACTGTAGCCATGGTTCCATGGCCTGAACATGGCCATCTCAACTTACTCTTCTATCTCGCTCGAATCATCGCCTCCCACAACATTCCTGTACACTTCCTCTGCCTCACTGCTAGGAACCAAGATTTAAGAAAACGCCTCCAAGGTGGACTTAAAGCCTCTGTTGAAAACCTAAGAGATTCAAACATCCATTTCAATGACCTCTTAGTACATTCATCTCCTACAGAAAAAAAAGATGATTTCTTGGAAAGACTAGGTGAGTCCATTTGCAGGACATGCCATGAACTATCGACCAATACGAAAAGATTGGTCATAATTCATGACTGTTTGATGATAACTTACATAGGTAATCATTTGCATTTGATGTCCAACTTCAAGTGTTATGCTTTCCACCCCACTTCAGCTTTCACCAGGTACTCTACACTTCGACAAACTATTCATACAGCTGATCAAGATCACGACGAAATGATTAAGCAACTTGGAGATGAGTTTCCAACTGCAGAGAGTACTTTCGGTCCAAATATGGCTGAGTATGTTGAGGAGGAACTTACATGGAAGCACAACTCTGGAGATATCATTAACTCCTGCAGAGAATTGGAAGGTAAGTTTATAGATTCACTTGCGAAGGTAAAAGAGAATACGCCTTTGTGGGCTTTTGGACCATTTAACATGCTGCCTGAATCACTAGACTCATTTTCTAATTCTTCATCTGGCAACAAAAGTACTCGTCACAACTGTCTCGAATTTCTTGACAAGCAAGATGTTAACTCAGTAATATTCGTGTCGTTTGGAACAACCACTACATTATCACAAGAGCAAGTGAAGGAGTTAGCACTTGGTTTAGAACAAAGCAACCATAAGTTCATATGGGTAATAAGGGAAGCAGACAAAAGGGTAGACATGGAGAATGGTGAAGAAAGACATGAGAAGATTGTGTTGCCAGAAGGGTTTGAAGAAAGAGTGGAAGGAAGAGGAATGGTGGTGAGAAGTTGGGCACCACAGTTGGAAATCTTGGGGCATCCGTCTACAGGCGGTTTTCTGAGCCATTGTGGATGGAATTCTTCAATGGAAAGTATAAGTATGGGAGTCCCAATGGCAGCTATGCCTATGACTGTTGATCAGCCATATCACACTCTGTTGGTATCAAACGTTTGGAAGATCGGAGTCTCTGTGTGGAGTTGGGCACGTCGGAAGGAAATAGTACCAGCAGTGGCTATTGAGAAAGCTGTCAAAACTTTGATGGGGACACCAGAAGGAGAAGAGATGAGGCAGAGGGTGGTGGAGTTGAGAGATAATATCAAGAAGTCTGTTAGCCATGGAGGACTTGCATACAAGGAGATGGAATCTTTCATCTCTTATATTATCAAGAACTGACTTCTATTGCTCAGTTTGACCTATGTTGGATTTGGCTTGTATGAATTTTCATACTTGATAAAGTTTTACTTTAGTGTTGGAATAAGATTTTTGCTAAATCTTCTGATTCTCGTAATCAAATTTTAAGAGCTGAGTCACTCCTTCTAGATCGAAGAAGGTGATGTTTTCTTTTGACATCTTGCTTTAATGTATGCATGTTGGAACTGACAAACGAAGAATTTCCACAAGTTGTTATTATTATTATTATTCTAGAAAATTATTCAAGTATACACTTCATGTAACAACAGAAATAACCAAATTCAGGAATAATACATGCCAGATTTACCATAAGAATCATGTCGATAGCTTTTGTACTTGAGGTAGTTCAGGAATAAATTGTACAAATTCTTGAGGAGCTTGAATGATCAAGTCATCGTCATCCCACTGATCACGATATCTCTCTGTCTGAGTCTTTATCTTCTCCCTAGCGATAAAAAACATTTCCTTTCTCCATTTTTCAGGAGGTGGAGATCCACACTTAGCAGCCAACCAATCTTCGTAGTCTAACTGTAAAAATGAGGTCTATCTCAATGAGGCAACAACAACAACAAACTCAGTTTGTTCACATAAGTGGGGTCTGGGGAGGGTAGAGCATACACATACCTATTTCCTAACTTTGAGAAGGTAGAAAGTCTGTTTCCAAAATCTCAACGAGACAAAAACTTTAAAAAATCATAAGAATTTGTCAAAACTAGTTTAGTACATGGGGATGTATACATACATTCCCCAACACATTGGTACCAATCTGTCAAGTTTGCTAACACAATATTAGGAACTTACTATTCCTTAATTCTTTTTTTAAAAAAGAAATCCTTTCTTATTTCTTGCATAACTAGGATGAAGAATGTTCCGTTGCTTATACCCAAGTGTATCGCCACTCCAACCAAGAAGAAAAGTAAAATGAAAGGGGTCAATGGAAAAAAGATGAGAAAAATTCAACAATTGAACAAGGTCTCTCAGGTTTTATACCTGAAAATCCATATTGTGAGTGTGTCGTTTTGGTATGCAAGAGGCATCCAAGGATGAGTAGAACGCATCAATATCAGCAATCATATCTTCCTTTGACAAGAGAGAAATTCGACCAGATAAAACACCAGCAATCCACTTGCTTTGTAGTTCACAACGGGGGAATGGTATAAGCTGTGCAAACCAAAGTAAACACGTTATTCATGTTCACCATGAATCTAAACCTTAAATTGACAACCTATTCCCAAAATCATCTTATTTACCTTCCATGGCATTCCAACAAATGAAAGACTAGGAGCAAAGGCTGGTGGGAAAATGTGTTTGTAAAGTGGCCCAACACGGTTGTCATCCACAGTTGCTATCCCATTAGTTTCAAGGCAAGGGAAATGATATTTTTACCTGGGAGAAACTGAATAGCAACATTACTGAGTACTGATGCTTCATCCTCCCATTCAGTTTCAGTCTTTCAGATTAATTTTTAAGATCATTTGTTAATCATTTTGTATTGTTCCTTTCAATTTACTTGTGATTCTGATTAAATGGAAGGCGATTAATCTATCACTTTCCTGATGAATCTGTATGGATATACTGTGGAATTCATAAAGAATATTTGTTTTAGTAAAAACATTACTCTTGTTTGTTTCTGTATCTGGAGTAGTTAGATTAAACTTTACCTTTTTTACCAAATTATCGATAACTAGCCAGTAGCCCAGTACTTATGGAGTCTATTACGATCCTGATTCATTGTAGTGGCATATCAACAACTTTAATAACTGGTTCCAATCATTTGACCCATAATCTACCCGTATCATTCATTCATTATCGGTACCTTGTTCACCTCAACAATTTAATGACCCTATAACGCCACCTTAGTTTCTTTCATTTTGTTTAATATTGGCAAAGGAAAATGACGGGTAATCAAACTCACCCTGTGCAATGTATAATGATATCAGCATAGTCTTTGGATCCATCACGAGAATTGACACCAACCATCTATACCAACAGCTTCAATCTGCATTATTTAGCCAGTATAAGTTATTTCTAGCAACATGAAGATACAGCATTATCGACAATTCCCCACAGAATTACATAAGTTATTAACAACTTTACAATAGAGTGGAGACATAGATTTTCATATCCATGCACCTTTTTGGGAGTCCTACTTAGAGCTTATCTAGAAGAAATGTGGACCTCTTTAGCAACTTCAGCAATTTCTCTGGAGATGTCAGAGGCACTTGTGGCACCCCCTATGACCACAATGACCTGCCAAACCATTGATCATGTACTCTAAACGCCATGTCAATGAAGAAGAAATGTTATATTATATTGCAACAAGAGATTATTTTCCGTGCTTCTTTTTCTCTCTCTGCAATTAGCATCAGCCGTGATATATTTGTCAAAAATTGATAACTGATATTATCAAGGATATGACCTTTTACTATTAAAGAAGTATGCCTTATGGAGGTGATATACTTTCTCATCTAAGATCAGGCGGCTAAAGACTAGAATACAGGAAGATGACCTTTTTTAGGATATAAGGAAATCAAAAATTCAGTTACACATTTAAATAATGGAGACTATTTTCATACAAATCTATCTATCAACCAAACTAAAGATGGAAGGCGACATGTCAACAAGACAACCCACTGAAATAAGCAAGCAAGACCACGACCTGACAGTATTTTCTCCATATCATAACAAGGCTCCAATAAGTAAAGTACTTTTTCTACATAGCTTCCTAAGAACAAGGACTAGTATAGCTTTTAATTATCCATGTGTATTTCATTAAACAAACAGGTGGATCTATATTAACAAATTATTTGCATTTTGTACTTGCAGTCCTCGCATTCCCAATGTTTTATGCAAAAGTAAGATTTGAATAATACAACTGTTCAATGACTTTTGATTATAGTGAATCCACACTTGCAGTTTTAACGTTTTAACTTTCACTAAGTAGGGCAAATATGCAATCTGAATAACTGCAAGCTATTTCAAAGTAAATATTGCTGCACTACGAATTTAGAAACATTAAACCTCTCAAGGGAACAATGCACATGACACATACTTGATCTCGAAAAGGCTGTGGAACCCCGTAATTGTGGCTGTGGGTTTGCTTTCCTGGCCAAACTTCGATTCCTAAAAAGGCAGAAGCCTTTGGTTAGCAACATATGATTTCAGACACAGTGGGAAAAATCTGAAAGCTAAAGATGTAGGAAAGGAAGAATTTACTCAAAACTTAAAAAAAAAATGATTTGCTCAGAAAACTTCCAAAACCATGAAAAACCAAAATATTCTTCATATGATAGCTTGACAGAAAGTAATGATACCAAAACTATGTTGAATTGATCTTAAGAAAGAAAAACTTAAAAATTGGCTGAAACTTTTGAAATAAAATATAGGCTAATCTTTTATCCCTAGAATATATCATGCTTTGTCAAGGAGATTTATCAACTTTCAAGTTTTATGGGAACCCAAATTTCCTAACTGCGTGTACAGGAAAACCATGACATGGTGGATATGTAACGCTGACGAAAAGGTTAATTTTGATCAGCCACAACTATTAAAATACAAAGTACGGTAGACCCATTCGCTTGATGTACAAATCAACATGGGTTGTATAAATGGATTACCAAATACTGGACATCTTCATATCAAATTTTGTAATGAAGAATGAATCTTCCAACAGTACATGATCTATTCCCTTGAAAAATCAATGATGACCACAAATTTAAACAACGGATATATTCCATTGTAGTGTGACAATCTGCTGTCAAAAAAGTATACATGCAATGTTGATATGCAAAAAAAATTAAATTTGATTGACCACCAGCAATAAAAGACTTGTGTGATGTTGATGAAGTTCGCGAAGACCACAGGAGAAGTCTTGGGAGAAACTTAAGGTAGGATGATTTCCTTGTGTCTACCTAAACTTTGGTGGGTAAAGTTATTCGATACAGAGTGGGAGGACACAAGTGCACCACCGTTATTAGGGAAAAGGTTAAGGTAAAGACAGCCAAACTATAAGGCAACTGCAGGTACCCTTTATAACCAGCTATAACATGTTAAACTACACTATAGTGCAATAATTCTTTGCACTAAGTGAATATAACTTCAATCTTGTCCAACACAAATATGAATTTTCTTAATCAGTACTTGACTTATTTCCTCAAAGAATCTATACTTATCACAAACCCGAACCTGACTAAACAAAGTTCCATTCTGCTATAATCTAACAGTCGAACCAAATCTTTAACTGTGAAGACTTAAAAGATCAAAATGCTCCTAGGGTGGCTAAGAGATGGAGTGAAAACTTGAAACTAATGTTCGATTCTTGGCAGCATAGACACTAGGGGACGTTTGGTATTGGTATAATGGATAATCATTGAAGTTATTTTATCCTACATTTGGCTAGAGGTATTAGTCCTGAAATTACTTATGCCACAATTTGTACTATAATGATGCGATAAGTTATTTCATGTAAATGAAAAGTGAGAAGTCAACTCTTCTCTCTCCGGTTCCATTATTACAAAATAAACATTTAAAGATCAAAACTTTAAATAAATTACCAGGAATATCAGCTAGTTGGGTTCAGTAAAGCGTCCATTACAGATAACTACAGCATCATACTCCTCGTTAACAAACACAACATGATCATCATTCTCACTTTTTCTTGAACTAAACTTCCATTTTCCATTCTCCAACAATCCCACATACCCAACTTCAGTTCCAAACCTCACCAGTTCAATAATCCCAAAATCAGACGCAAAATCATTCAAATAGTCCAACACTTCCCTATGACCCGGATACCGTCTCGGGTCTCTATTGGGTTTTCTCGTGTCCACGATCATGAAAACCCATTACTTCACGTGGAAGGTTTACCCGAAGTGATGAATAAAGACTTGAATGAACAATTCTCCGATTCGGGTCGATCCCAATTGGGTCGGAATCAGTGTGTGGAGTGTAAATCCATGTACCTCCTAGCTGATTTTCTCGCT